TGTCTGCCCACCGGTCATAAAGGAAGGAATGATGCAAAATGGAGTCCTTCCACTCAAACATCTCCATGTCTCCTGCTGGCTTGGAGGGAAGATCTGAAATTGGAACCTCGAGTGGTCCATCTTCTCTTTGGAAGTCGAACCATTCTTAAACTCCTGCCTCCTCCTTCAATTTGTTCATAATGATTATTGATACGGACAGGCCTCAACTTACAACAGTATGTTTAGTGCCCATTTGAAGTCACAAGGGCATTGAAAAAAGTGACTTACGGCCAGTGGTGGGATTCCAGAAAAATTTACTACCGGTTCTGTGGACGTGGCTTGGTGGGCGTGGCAGAGGAAGGTTACTTCAAAATCCTCATTCTCTCCCCACCCCACTAACCTGCTTTCCAGCTCCATTCTCCTGGGCAGGGCAACAAAAGAAGACCCAGCTGATCAGCTGGGACTCAATGGGAGGCAGAGAAGAGATGGGGTTGGCGGGACCAGTCAGAGGTGAAATTTGCCAGTTCTCCAAACGACTCAAAATTCCCACTACCAGTTCTCCAGAACTGGTCAAAACCAGCTGAATACCACCTCTGCTTACGGCCATTTTTCACCCTCACCACCATGGCAGCATCCCTATGGTTACGTGATTAAAATTCAGACGCTTGGCAACTGGCATGTATCTATGACGGTTGCAGCGTCCTGGGGTTACGGGGTCTCCTTGTGTGAACTTCTCACCAAGCAAGATCAGTGGGGAAGCCGGATTCACTTAACAACCTTGTTACTAAAAGGACAACTGCAGTGATTCACTTAACAACGGTGGCAAGAAAGAACACGGGGCAAAAGTCATGTGACAACTCTCTCGCTGAGCCACAAAAATGGGGTCCGTAAGTCGAGGACTACCTACACAGAAGAACCAAAAGGATAGGGATTCTTGAAATGTTTCTGGATTGTCTGTCTGTTGTGTCATCTGAGGAGTGAGTCTCTGAGGCAGGGGTGTCAAACTCAAGGCCTGAGGGCCGGATCCAACGGAACTGCCCTGGAAACAGTGAAGGACCGGCCCCCACTGTGCTTCTCCATTTTTGCTGGCAGAGGGTTGCGGGAGGCTGTTGCAGCCGAAAACGGAGCTCGGGGCCCCGTTTTCACTGGGCAGAACACCCAGGCCACCCCTGGCACCCAGGGCTGGGCTGCTGGGGGGTTCGCAGGGGTTCGAGAGAGCCGCTAGCTAAGATTCTGTGCAGTTTGGAGAACCACCAAATTCCCACTCCTGGCTGGCCTCGCCCACCTCTCCCCTCCCAGGAGTCCTCAAGTGGCCCATTTTGGATGCAGGTAAGTGAAGGATGCGCACGGAGGCTCGGGGAGGGTGAAACATGGGCCGCCCGGAAGTTCAGGAAGGCTGGAAATGGGCCTGTTTCTGGCTTCCAGAGAGCCTCCGGAGCCCGGGGAGACCATATTTGCCCTCCCGGAGGCTCGAAGAAAGCCTCCTGAGTCCGGGGAGGGCAAAAAAGTCCCCCACCCCACCCCCGGCCGTGATGCAGGAGGCTGACTCCTGGAACGCCCACCCAGGAACCGGGGCAGAGAACAATCCCTGGCTAAAATTCTTGAAGCCCACCCCTGCTGGCGCCCCCGGCACGAGTGATGTTGAGCTGGCCACACTCACCCCGGCCCTCCGAGGTCAAACACAACCCTGATGCGGCCCTCAAATGAAATGGAGTTTGACACCCCCTGCTCTGAGTCGTGTGGATACTCTTCCTAAGATGCTTGATGGGCCCCCCCAAAAAAACCCTGTCTCTTTGTCGTTCTTTCCACAGAGCCCACGGTCAGCGTGGTCCAAGAGATGCGTCTCCGCAATGCTGGTTACATCCAAAACCCATACGATCTTCCCAGAAACAGCCACATCCCCAGCCACTATGACATTGTCCCGCTAAGGCACAGCCCAACTCATGGGACACTCTGGGATAAGCCTTCTTAAAGGGCCAGGCCACCCGGACATCCCCCAACCAACCACCCCAAACCACGTGCCATGTGAACATTGTTCTCGGACACAACAAAGATGACAATCTTTTTTTTTTTTTTTCGTTTTATCCTGCTGTATATTGGAGGAGAGGAAGACCACCCAAAGACAATGGTTGGGGCCCACTTGCTTCTGCATGAAAAACTCTTTATTATTTGACAAAAATAATTTTATACATGTTGCAGGAAAAGAAAAGAAAAGAAAAAAACCAAGAAAGCTCCTTTACGTTCCAACAGCAGAAAGAAGACGTCGGAAAGCCATTTATCTCCAAGGTCAACCCTGGACCACGTGTGATTTGTTTTTGCTTTAAAAAAAATGGAGGGGGAGGGAGAACACACCCCTTGCTGAAAGTTCTTATAGCTGTATCTGTACTGTATTATCATCTGCTTAAAGAATTCTTTTGTAAAAAAAATAAATAAGAGAGAGAGAGAGAGAAAGACATGAAATAACCTTCAGATAGATTTTGGGATCAGTTATAAAACCTCATGTGCAGGTCCAGATTCCAGAAAGTACTTCTTCAAGGAACTCAGAGACAAGGTGCTTTAGAAAATCACTGCTTGCCATAATGTGATACTCTTTCCTTCTACACGGTGTGAAGGATTCAGACCTTTTATGGCTGCAGAACTTCAGAAATTCTTCTTGGTCTACAGAGTTTATGGAAGGTTCAGTTCATAAAAGCGCTTACTCTGCTGAGCATGACTTCTTCTGCTCCTTGCCCACCCCATGTATCCATCGTTCCACCTTTAGGAGCTGGTCTCCATCCATCCATCGCCACGAGATGGGATTGAACGACGCTAATCTGCAACAGAAGTCCGTGCCCATCTGTTTCTCGGGTGGATCGGGGCAATCTCGAGATGCTTGTTTTCTCTGGCAGTGGAATGAATATGAGATGGGCTGAAAAAAGCTAATGCACACGGACTCCTAATTACACTTTTGGGTCCTTCTGCTGACAAAGATGGCATGCTTGCAATGTACCAAGGATGAAGTACATAAAAGATGTTCATCAATGGCCTTATCCAAACAGACATGACAATTGTCTAAACAGGAACTGGACGCTGGCGGCATCCTTCATCAACGTGGTTTACTCTAGTAGAAATGGACTGCAAAACTTTCCTTGATCTTGGTGTCCACCAGATGTGCAGACTTCCATTCCCAGAACTCTCAGCAATAGTCATTGGCCAAAGAATTACGGAGATTCAATCCCTACATAAGAAGAGCTACCAAGTAAGGGGAAGCTGTATTTCATCCTCCTTCCCAGTCAGGATGTCTAATGTCCATGCTAAATGGAAGTGATGGAATCTGAAATTCGACGCAGCTGGAAAACACCAGGCGAGGAATGTCTACGGACTGACCCGTGGTTTTTCAGGGCTTCTAGCAGAGATCCTTCCCAATCTTTCCTGGAGATACCAAGTGTAGAACTTGAGAATTTGTGCATGCCAAGCAGATTTCAATCGTGGAGCTATGCTGTTCCCTCAAATCACTCTAGTATAACAAGATCAACTACACATCGTTTCAAGAAGATTGTTTCTGTATCATAAGTACCTTCTGAAATCTGAAATCGCCGTTAGCTTGCAGTTGGACTTCAGTTTGGGTAAATGCTCGTGGTTTGCGTGTAGATCTTCTTGGATAGGATCAAATGTTGATATTGTATAATCTTTTCATCCAACAATTGTTAATATAGTGAAAAGGATGCCTTTCACCAAGAAATGTCCATATACCATTAAGGCACAATGGAGTGGAATTTGTAAGAGAAAGGAAAACGAAAAAAAATGGCTTCCTAAAATGTGACAAAAGGTATCAGATCCGCTGTTTTGCAACTTTGCAACTGATCAGGATTCTTTCAGGTGGATAGGTTGGAATTATTATTTAATCAGAAATAAATTGAATAACAGAATGCAGCTCCAGAACGTATTATCAGCATCGTGAAGGAGGGGTCAATGAACCTTTTCAGGTGATGGGTACCTATATCGCTTCTCATGCGATAATATTCCGTTGGAAACAAAATACTGGATCCTCTCCATTCTTGTGTGAAATCTCAGGAGATCCCATGTAGGGATATATAGGGATCTTGCTAGAGTTGGTGACTGTGTAAAATATAGAAGTTAAAGGGGTCAGAGTACCTGTTGCAGACCCCAGATGGATAATTCATTGTATATATACACTAGTGGCAAGATACAAGAGTTGTGAATGCCACAAACTGAGCATTTGTCAGACAGATTTGCTGCCGCCAGCATAGACTACAAGACTGTTATCTCCAGATGTGGGATTACAAATCCCAGATTTGGGTGTGACCACACCTGGGGTGGCTGAGCATTGACAATTTTTGGCTTGATGACCCAGAGATCTCTCGATTCATTTGAACAGCGGACTCCAAACTTGGCAACTTTTAAGACTGGTGGACTTCAACTCCCAGTATAGCTGGCTGGAGAATTCTGGGAGCTGAAGTCCACCAGTCTCAAAGTGGCCAAGTTTGGAGACTCCTGCATTTAAAGGTGGCTTTCGCAGCTCCTGAAAAAGTTAGGATCAGAATTGTGGAGTTGGGAGGAGACCAACAAGGAACTTGTAGCCCAACCTTGTTCCCTATTTTTATGGCGACTACTGCTTTGAACTTCCTTGAACCAGATGCCAAACCGTTCAATGAGAGGCACAGATATGGGGGATTTAAGAGGGCCACATTTGCAGACGAGATGCTTTCGCATTAGTTTGACGAGCTAGGGAAACTGCAAGGCTATGGAGGGGAAGAATGGGGTAACATTTCTCATCAAACGGATGCAGAGAGGAAGGACCCATCCTCCCCTACTCCATGTCCATCTGGAGAACCAAGCGTCTCATCTCTTCAGAGCCCAGCATTGGAGTTCTGCTGTGGTTAGTAACAAGTATTAGAATATTGTAAGAGAGTCGTGTTAGTTTATGGTAGCAAAACAATCGGCTCACACATTTTATTCCAAAGCGTTTGCTTGCTAGTAATGTTAGGGTAATTGTATTGATAGGACAGGTAAGGAATCGAGTCGCTAAGAGCAGAAAACACCTTCTACGGATGGCTTGCTTTGGACTTATAGGAGAGTTTTAATCCAAACCATTTTCAGAACATGATTGTCCTCTCCACTAGGTAGACCAGACCAGAAAACCCACTCCGTGGGAAGGCTAAAAGTAATCTTATTGAAGTTGGCTTTAATAACAGAAGTTTGCAAGTCTTGATTATGCCGCGCCTTCTCCTTCTCTCACGCTGCGGTGAGTTAGGTAGGTGTCTGCTTGAGCTCTTTCCAAATATGATCTTATTCTGGACTTTAAAAAAAAGTATTCACCCCCTTTTGCCTGTGCAACAATTCCGGTGTCTATCAAGCTCAACTTTGCTTTTTCTGTCTACCATGGCAGAAGGAATGCTTGGAAACCGAGTTAGTTTAGTCCCTCAATGAAAGCCAAGGAATTTTTTGGGGTGGGTGGGTGGGTGGGGGAAAATAGTGGGAAATGAAAGCCTAATTCCAAAGCAAAGCAGAGGGTGGATTTCTGCACTGGTCAGCGGATGGAGCGAAAATGCATCCCAGTGAGGTTTTAGGAGAATGACTTTTTTTTTTCTTTTTCTACAGCAGAGGGGGAAAAACTGTTAATTATTTACACGAATGCTGCATGTGTGCATGGGGAAAAAAAAAAAGACCTATTGGCAATAGCTGTTTTACTTTCCAAGAGAGCCTTATCCAAAAATATATTTAAAAAGTAGAACTTTATTTTGTAGGACCTGTAGGGAATATATATTTTAAATACATGTATGGGGGGGGGGGGAGGGGAATAAAAGTCTTACCTCAGTAATTCGCAAGGGGGAGAAAAAGAGAAATCCTCCATGAAGGCTTTTTTTAATTTCAATTGGGCAAATTCACAGTGAAGTTGACTTGGGAATTAACATACCGACCTAGATAAAAAAAAAAAGTCAGGAATATGGACCGCTGCACTTTTCCAAGACATACCTGCAGAAGAGACAAGAAATGCCCAGGACCAACCTGCTTTCTGATGGAGGTATGGATGCAAAATATGGGTAATTATATAAGCTTATCCGGTTCGTAAATGTATGCAAGTTTTCAGGGGAACGTTTTCTCCAGCAGGAGAAATGACGGCTGCAGATCCAGGGAATGTTTATGCTGCATTTGAGACTGCTGTACTATGTAACGGAGTGTCCTATGGCCAAAATAAAGGGGGTAGAGAAGATGTATTGGGGGGGGGGGAAGGCACATTACATCCAGCAGGAGGCACTGAAAAGCAGACCCGTTCCTTTAAAGGAGAATACAAACGTTGTAATGGCAATACTTTTTTTAAAGCAAGACGTATTTGTAATATTTGTTGACCAAACAAAGGTAATACAGCTTGTTAAAAAATAAAACTGAATTTCTCTCTGTTGCATTTTGTTTCCCCACCCCTCCTCCCCACCTATGATTATTTCTAAGCCTTGGGTACACCAATCTGTGTAAAGTGCTCATTGTTTTAAAGCAAAAAACGTAACAGAATAACAGAGGTGGAAGGGACCTTGGAGGTCTTCTAGTCCAAGCAGGAGACCCTAAACCAGACAAGTGCTGTCCAGTTGAGATGAAGTACTGACAGCTTTTGGAGGCAAGTTGTTCCACTTGCTGGTTAACTATTCTTTGTCCTTATTTCTAGATTGGTTCTCTTGATTAGTTTCCTATTCCCTTCGTTTCCTATTTTGCCTTCTGGTACTTTGGAAAATAGTGTGTTCCAGGGGTGGGATTCTACCAGTTTGCACCTATTCGCTAGAACCGGTTGTTAACATTCTAAACAGTTCGGAGAACCAGTTGTTAGAAGAAATTACTGGGCTAATCCTGTAAGGGAGGCAGGAAGGAAACATTCTGGTGTTGCTTACAGAAACTGCCTCTCCATTAACCCTTATTACATTCTTGGAAGGACTAGACTTCCTGTCTCAGGAACTTCTCTGGAGTTTTTTTCCCTCCTTTGCTGGCACTTTGCTTGTGTGGAGGGACCATTCAAAGCTACAATGACACTGAAAAAAGTGACTTATGACCATTTTTCACACTTACGACTGTTGCAGCATCCCCACAGTCATGAGAGGCCAGGCAAGGAGATGCGTGCCTCGATGTGAGTGATGTTGAGTTGGCCAACACCCAGCCAATAACATGACCAAGCCATATCCACCCAGTCACGCCCACCAACCAAGCCACACCCACAGAACCGGTTGTTAAAAATTTTGAATCCCACCCCTTGTTTGTTCCCTTCTTTGTGGCAGCCCCTCAAATATTGGAACACTGCTATCATGTCACCTCTAGTCCTTCTTTTCTCTAGACGAGACATACCCAATTCCTACACCCGTTCATGTTTTATGAATCATCTTTGTTGCTCTTCTCTGCACTCCTTCCAGTCTCTATATCTTTTTTATAATATGATGACCAAAACTGGACACATTATTTCCAAGGGTGGTAGAAAGCAGTACTAGTACTTCACGTGATCTTGATTCTGTCCGTTAAGGCAGCCTAGGATTGTGTTGGCTTTTTTGGCTGCTGCCGCACACGGCTAGCTCATCTTTAAGTAATTGTCTACTAGAACTCCAAAATCCTTCATATATTTACTGCTGTTGAGTCAGTAGTACCTGCTCATTTGGTTTTTCTTGCCTAAGTGTAAAACCTTTATTTTTCTCTACACTGAATTTCATCGGTTGGGATCTCAATTGCCAAGCGTTATATAGTCTGGAATGACTTATGCCCAAGTGGGCACAAACAGCCTTTTGTCTGACTTTATTCTGTAAGCACTGCCAGTGGTCACCAGGTCTGGAAAAAAATGGAGGCCAAAAAGAGGAGTTGGTGGCCATGTTATTTTTGGGCCTCCAACTCCCCCCCCAATCTGCTTTTAATCCTCTTGGCATGCTGTAAGATAAAGGAAGTGGCTGATGGAGTTCTGTTCATCCAGAATGCTTTGTCCACCAGAAGCATCCAGTAAAATAAAAAAATTATTTGGAGAACTTGCTTTCTTTTCCCACGATAACAAAACACCCAAAGTTTAAAGCTCTGCCAATGGAACGCAATTAACAGTGCAAAGTGGAACCGTAAATGAATCAGATTTGCATGTCAAGTCGATCCGCGTAATTTATTGACACGTTAATTCCAATGATCTTCCCGCAGCTCAAGGGCCCTCTTCCCCCCCCTCTTTTTTTTTTTAAACCTCAAAGGCCCATCAGAGTCTTTAATTCCAAGTAAGTTCACTCCACAACCTCTGAACAATCCCCTGTGATTCTTTTATTAGAATTCCAAAAATGAATAATTTTAAATCAATATTAAAAAATACTCGGTACAGAATGTGCATAACAGTACAAAGCAATTTAAAAAAAAAAAAAAGTGGGTGCGAGAAGGGAAAGAACCCAAAAAAAAAAAAAGTGTGCGGAAAAATAACAACACTCTGGAGAAAGAAAACAAAAACAAAAGATGACTGGACTACAGCAATGCCCTCGGTGCGCCTTACACGTCATGAGCACTGCAAGACTGGCAGACAAGCCGAGTGGAGTAGCTTTCAACGCAGCAGGAAGAACAGATCTGCAAGAAGCATTTCCTTCCTTCCTTCCTTCCTTCCTTCCTTCCTTCCTTCCCTTCTCCCTATAAACCAGGGACTCTTTCCTCTTCAGCTGGGCTTCCCAAAGACTGCACAATTGTGTGTGTGCTGGTGTGCACACCCTAACCCCTCTTTCGAACAGTGCTGCAGACGGACAGGCAGTGTGGGCTGCAAACCGTAAGGCTGCCTGGGGGAGTGAGATGCGAAGGAATGTCCTCTGGAAACCCAGAAGGGCTCAATCACTTGGGGGCTTTTAGTGTGCAACTGAAGAGTTTCAAGGGCTTCCAGGCCAGGAACTGCCCCCCCACCCCCACCCCTCCCGAGAAACTAAACCAGTTTGAGCCAAGGGGGGGGGGGGCAATGGGTGGGGGGAGGATGCATCAGTGCCAGTTTTGCTGACAATTCTCATTAAAAAGTCTGAGTTTCTTGGGAGCTGCGACGCCCAATCTCCAAGCCTTCTCCATCACCTGTACATGTGCAACATGCAAAATGATTCCCCGCCCCCCAGGGCCCACACTAGATTGTGCGACACAACTAAATGCCACAGACGACGAGCCACAGGGACTAGCAAGCGAAGCGAGGTGGCACTTCCCTCTTAGGGTTAACTATGTGGCATCATCCAGCATCCAGCAACAGATGTTGGGCCTGAGCCGGGTGGGCTGCAATAATTTAATTCGCACGGTGGCCTTGTCAGCCAGAGGATTGATCCTCCTCTCCTTGCTTGCAAGGGGAGACGTCACCCGTCTGCTCAATCATGAATAAAAAACCCTCGAAAGGCGACGCGGGTGTGGCCTCAACAAAGCCAATTCCAAAAGTGAGACCACAGGCCCTGCTCATGGATGCTAATCCATTAGGCCCAGCTGTTCCCGGAGGTTATCCTCCCCGACTTGGGTCTTCCAAACAGGATCACAGTTCTGGCCAGACAGAAAGTCAACCCAACGAACAATTTGCATTTTTTGACCCAAGGGCCCAGGCCATCCATTGCCCACCGGATGAACGAATGGCTCTCTCAACCTAGCTTTCTCCAGACCCATTTTCCTACACCTCCCATTATCTCGGGCCAACAGTGGGGCTAGAGGGGATGATGGGAGCTGTAGTCTGCAGGGCCCTGGGGACGTGGAAGGCCAAGAGAGAGAGAGAGAGAGACGGCATCTAAGCACTGAGGCCATAGTGGACAAGGGAGTTATCAAATCATGCCGTTGTGTTGACGGGGGTGTCTGAACTGGGGACGCTTTGACAGAAGCCACCTCTGCTCCTTCCCGAGGTGAGCCAGGCAGGCGATCCACTGTGATCGGTTAACCAGGTTTGCCTTGCAGGACGCGAGCATTTCAAATGATGCTGCAGCCTCGTGTGAAAAGAGATGAGTCACAGAACTGAGGTGGAAGACAAGGAGAAAACGGTGACAAAATGATGAGGAAACGGAGAGAGGAGAATAAAATAAAGGCAAAATGTGATGGAGAGGGAAAAAAGGGGGAAGAGAGAGTAGAGAACGAGAGAGAAAAAGAAAAAATAATGTCAGCTCAAACTCTACTTCCGTTCAGATCCGGGGGAATATACACCGTTTTCCAGGAGTTGAACTTCTTATATATTTTGACAACACTGCATCTTTGGTTTGTTTTCCGTGGTTGGAGGAACATGGATGGGCACCACATTGTTGCTTGGAGACATGTCATTCTCGCGTCTGTCTGACATCTGTTTCTGCGACACAATGCGATAAATCTCTGAAAGAGAGAAGCCGCGGGTGACCGAGGAGGAAAAGGAGGGAGAGGGGCTGAGGCCTCCATTCTGGAATTCACCCTCCTCCATACATGCGCCAACCATAGAGCCCCACTTACAGGTGGAATGGGACAACTCGCTACGAGACAATTCAACAATCCCAAGTTAATTAACTGAAATAATTTTAATTTCTGCCGTTCATATTTTATTCTGTCCCTCCTTTGGCATCCTTTCTTTAATGATTCTATTTGACTATTTCTTTTGATATTATTTTAACTCTTGGCCTGCAGCGAGTTGTTCTGCAGTGAGTTGGCCATAGCTATGGTGAATTGTTTGTGGCGGGTTGTCCTAGACCAGGGGCCTCCAACCTTGGCAATTTTAAGACTTGCGGACTGGCTGAGGAACTCTGGGAGTTGAAGTCCACAAGTCTTAAAGTTGCCAAGGTTGGAGACCCCTATCCTAGACCCCTTACAGGAAGGGTTAGCTTGTGAACATCTACTCCATTTAACTTCAGGTCTTCTCTTGCTATGTACAGGTACTTTTCAATTTACAACCATTTGTTTAGTGATCATTCAAAGTTACTATGGCACTGAAAATAACTGACTTACAACTGGCCCTTACACTTATAATCGTTGCAGCGTCCCCAACAATCACATCATTAAAATTCGGTCCCTTGGAAACTGGCATTCATTTATGGCCGTTGCAATCTCTCTCTGTCAACTCAAAAATATTTCTCTGGTCTTTTAGAGTTGCCAGCAGAAAGGGAGTGGGAGAAGTAGTGCATTCCTTAAATGCTTTCATAGATAATCTGGATCGCAAGATTATTACTGGAGAGCATGATTGGTGACTCTTGGCTATGGAGGTGTCCCATTGGAGAATATACATCCAGGGGGCGGGAGGAAGACCAGGGTCAAGGGGGAAATGAACGATGTCGGCTACACCCAGGTAGCACCAGCATGTTCGCTCCTAATAAATCATTTTTTTAAACTCTGAGAGATGCGGCTAGACCCATGATTTGAATGGGGGGGTGGATGCTGGAGCCCTGACACTCTTCATAATCGCTACCTGCCACCTTCCAAGCTGGCTTCTGGCAAGCAAAGTCAACGGCAGAACCCCAATTTGCTTAATGACCTCATGATTCACTTAACAACCACACGATTCACTGCAGTGATTTGCTTAACAACGGTGGCAAAAAAAAAGGTAATCAAATTGGGCGCAAGTCCCTTAACTTTGCTTTGCGATGGAAATTCTGGTCCCATTTGCAGTCCTTAAGTCGAGGACTACCTGTATACTTGTTCTCATTTGGAGAAGTTGAGGTCATCGGGAGCCTCCGATACTTTAATTTTTAAAAAATTTCCACTAGCTAGCTAATTTGTGAGCAGGTTCTTGTAAGACACACAGATAAACTCAAAGAAAAAGCAACCAATCAATAGACCAACCAATGCACATTCTTCTGACATTTTCCCCATGGTTGTTAGTTTGAGGCTGCTTTCCCCAACTTGGCGCTGTTTAGATGGGCCGACGCCATCCCTTGTGAACTGCCGGATCGAACTGAACAATCCGTGGGCTAGTTTTTAAGGGTAGGCCTATTCAGTCATCATTTAGGCCGTTAACAAGACTGAGCCTGGGCATCTATTCCAACGGACAGTGAAATAAATGGTGAAGAATAGTGTGTTCCGCCAGCTGGAATCAGAAATACGCCATTAGAAAGTTGGCAAAGTCAGCCTGTTACTGACAATCCAGGGCCGAGATGGGAGACACTTTGGCCCAGAAAGGTTCCTACTTCCAAACCGGAACAACCAACATGAAATGACCCTTCCCAACTCGGAGGTCTCCACTGCCTAAGTCAGAGGTC